GGACGGAAGTGAATGACTACTGCTCCTCAGAACAGACACGCAGGACGGAATCACGCCAGGGAGTTATATAGTTCTTGCTTTAACTTGGTCTTAACCATCCAGCAGAAAAGTGTAACCATGAGGTATAAAAAGTAACCCGATATTAATATGTTGGGCTGTAAAAGGCTTAAGTCAACAACTTTGGACAATTGCCAATTGTGCTGATAACTCACTATTATTATGGACTATTAGATTACATTGGGTTAGTTTGCTGAATCCAAGTACCTACAATCTGTTAACTGGCATCAGGTATGAAAAGGCCCTTTAAAGACTTTTCCAAATACATCTTCTCTAACTGTAATGCAACACCCATCTGACAAACAGAACCATAAAAGGGGATATAAATAACTGACATTTCCTTGTTCCTAATCTTGCAGCCTTTCCCCTTCCCAGCCCTGGACCAACCAGCCAAGCTACTTAGTACTGCTGAATGATTTTTGTGTCTGTCTTGATCTCAAACTACTTTTGTCTGCACACGAAGTGGATTACCAGGTGCATTTTCTTAAAATTGCCTGTTGGGAGAATGCTCCTCACTGCCGTGTTAGGTAGGCCCTCATGAGCCACTGGCGTGCAGCAGTGCTCCATATTTGACCCGTACTCACATTCCATGGTGAGCTCCTAATAAACCAAGTTCACCCAGTCTTCTACCTCTCCTGTCAGTTGTCTATGAGTAACCTGCCTAGAGTTGTAAGTGTGAGCTGGGAGTGAGCTAGTGCAATAGTGGCAGCCTCAGCCAGTCTGTTAGGGAATGTTAGAGATAGAGTCATCTTATCTGAGAAAAGGGGGCTGCAACTCTGTGGCCCTCCATTCTCAGCCATTTGACATGGCTGCCACTCTGAGGGGTGTGCTCAGGCAAGGCAGCTCCCTTCAACAGAGGCCAATATGTCTTTATCTATGACAAACTCTGTTTTCAACTGTCAGTATCTTGGGGAAGAGGTGGGAGTGTGAATACTGCCCTGCAGTGTCTCTTTTTTATAAAAGGAAAAGACTTGATCATTATCTTACCAGCTGAGATAATCACTGTTAGGGCTGAAATTTAAATACTTCCCTAAAGTGAATTGCATTCGGAAAGTGATTGGGTCATGGAGGGCAATGTACTCATCAGAGGATTCTTCTATTCCTATGCTACCAGCTGAGTGTGCAGGGAGGAGGTGAGGCTGGGTAGGAGCAGTGGGTCACTAGGGAAATGGCCTAGCAGGTGTATTCTTGTCTGTGGCTCCTCCCTTCTGTCTGTGTTCCCTGGCTGTTATTATGTGAGCAGCTTTTCTCATGACCAGGCTCTTATTCTGTGCCATTTTCCTCATCTGAATTTTCAGGCCATTGGCTGAAGCTCCGTAAACTGTGAGCCAAAATTAACCTTTCCTCCTTAAAAGTCAGTGGTGTTTGACATTTTGTCCTAGTGATGGGAAAATGACTAATACAATAGTAGTCCACATTTTGGTGTTCATCTTCCAGTATTTTATATGTAAAACTCACATGTGGTTATATTATTTATACTGAATCTTGATGTCCCCCTAAAACCTCATGCAGTCATGGGGGTGGGATTCTAGAGTTTGTGATTGATTCAGGGTCCAGGGCTGGGCTTAAGGGTATGAGTTCTGCACCTGCCCTAGGAGGGGTAGCCTGCTGGAATACTACAATATAAGGGGCAGAAAGAGCATCTCTCTCTTCCTCCCTCCTTCTTTTCCTCCCTTCTCTTTCTCCATCTCTCCCTTGTTGCTTTTGCTGTTTTCCACCACCATGAACTGTTGCCCTTCTGCCATGTGCCACCCTGTCTTGGGGCCAGCTGAATATAGACTGAAACCTCCACAAACTGTGAGCTAAATAAACCCTCCTTAAACTTTGTCTTTATTTATGTATTTATTTTTATTTATTTATTTTCCATTTATGTATTTGGCACAGGGTCTCACTACACAGCTCAGACTCATAGTGATCCTCTTATTTTCAGCCTCCCCATTGCTGGGATTACAGGTGTGTGTCACCATGCCCAGACTTGGTTGCCGCTCAGCACCCCCCGAGGGTGGGGCAGCATGGCATGAGGGACCAGGGATTAAACCCTGGTCCCTGCACTTACCAAAGCAGGTGTTTAGTCTGCTGAGCTATCTCACCAGCCCTCCTCCTTTAACTTTGGATGTTAGTTATTTTGTCTCAGCCATGAGAAGAGTAACTAAGACATATACTGTATAGCAGGCTCTTGTTCACTTCCAAGTCAACTTTCAAATAAACCGATAGCAATACTGACTAAGGTGATGATGTTTCATAAAAAGCCCTTTCATAAAAAGTTCATTTTTAGTAAAGAAAGACCCTGAATGAGAAATCATTCTAAATTCTCAACCATACCCATGTTTGAAGCCTACCAAGGATGAAGAAAGAGCAGTTATCTGATGGATTCACTAAAAAAAAAAAAAAAAAAAAAAAAAAAGTATCATTTGCATATGCTGAAAATTCTAACCCTTTTAAGAGACCAAACTAAGACCCAATATATTTGGTATCATTGATAGTTGATTGTTTAAGGATGACAAAATATCACTGAATGAGTATTAATCTGGCTAAAACGCATTTAGGTTTTTATCTGTAGCACAATGTTTAATTGATTTATGACCTTGGAGAATTATCTTTTTTTTTTTTTTTTTTAGATAGTCTCACTACCTAGTTCAGGCTGGACTTAAACTCTGTAATCCTTCTGCCTCAGGCTCCCAAGTGCTGGGATACAGGCATGCACCACCATGGCCAGCTGGATAAATACCTAATAGGCCACATAAATTCATCCAATCTCTGATTCTAATGCATACAGAGACCATATTCTTGTGAAAAAAACGATAAATTAAGTGTCAGGGATGCAAGGCCAGCGTATGAACAATTCTTTATTTTTATTTTTTTATTTTATGAGTACACATTAGATATGCATAATGATAATATTCATCATAGGGAACTTGTACCTGTACATAACATATCTTGCTTCTTCTTTGTTTTTCTGTTCCTTCCTCCTCCCTTCAACCCCTCTGATCAATATTATTAGGACCAATGGCGATGCTTTCTTGGCCCAAACCATTGGTTCAGTGCAAGAGCCTGCCCTTGCGAAGGACACCACCTGTAAGGAGCCACCCTGCATGACACAGGGGTATTTTCACAACTGCTTCTCCTAAAGTTTGTTTTTGTTTTTTTTATCACAATAATAGCAAGGCAGTGAAATTGTGTAAGAGGGACTACTTGTGCGGAGCGCATTCCAGGGAGCAATAGCTACACTCACCCACTCACACTTCTGCATTTTTTTGTGTAAGCTTTGAAAAGTCCTTTCACTTCTCCAAGCCTCAGTTTCTTCACAGGAAAAATGATGAAAATCAAATAAAATAACTGATTCAGAAGCACAGGACAAATTATGAAGCATACAAATAACAAAAAAAGAAAATTGTAAATTTTGTTAAAGTAAAAAATAGCCATGATATTTGTTAAACACAGTAAGGTAGACTTTGTAGAAAGGGGCTGTGAAATAGGTACTGTGTAGAGACCACTGAATAAAGATATACATAGAGTATGAAAATACACTGTCAACAAAATGTATAGAAAATCCCTGTATAGAGATTACTGGAATGTTGGTTTTTTTTTTTTTATGTATTTAGTAGAGGCCCTACAGGGTCTCACTACACAGATCAGACTCAGTGACCCTCCTGTTTTCAGCCTCCCAAGTACTGGGATTACAGGTGCTTGCCACCACGCCTGGTCTTGGGACTGGCACGGCATGTGTACTGGGGATAGAACTTTGTACTTGCCAGGTGGACACTTAGACTGCTGAGCTATCTCCCCAGCCTGGATGAGAGGTTTCTGACCTACACTGATTTGTCATTGGTGAAGGCAGTCCTGGGTGCTTTGTTAACCATGGGAGGAAGATATTCACTAACCAACTTTGCAGGATTTTTCACTCAAACTGTATTCTAGGAAAACTTTTGATTAGGCATAGTGAAGCCAAGGACTCAGAGAAGCTGTATTCAAATTTTGATCTTGTCAGTACTTTCAAAAAATGCTACAGGTAATAATGTTAATATCCTTCATACATAATTAATAATATGGGCCTTATTATCAGAGTGCCTACACTTTTGCTCATGATTTGGAGACTAAATATGACCAATAAATATTTTAACACACAGTACTGGAGCACTGTGACTTACCCTGGATTTTTCTGTTTTGGTAATTTTGATATCATAAATGATGATGATGTGTCCATGTGTTCTTGACCAAGGAAAGTTCTGGACGAAGGAGGAGCTTGTGTGAAGATGGTGCCTTCAGAGCAGATGTGGCTGTGGAAGTGCTGGTGCTCCATGTGCCTCCCTAGTCAGAGACCTCAGCAAGGGTAGGGCAGGGGGACAGTGTTGCATTCAGGGCCTGCACCACTGGCTTGGCTGGGGAGGTGGCAGGAGGTTACTGTGACAAAATCTGGACTACAGATCGCAGGAGACGCTGCTGCATGCCTGGGAGATGCTCCTTGGTGGAAGGTGCCAATAATTGGAGAAATCCCTCATGTCACCATAAGTTTATGGGCAGCCTTGTTGTAAGCCCATTCCCTGGGCAGTGGGCAGTGACTGCATAAGTCAGCTTTGTTCATCAGCTGTAAGAGAGATGTAGGGGTGTGAGTGTGTGTGTGTTTCTGTCAGGTCTATCCCCCCTTTCCATTTTCATACCACCAATACAGTTGTGTGTGTTTTAATTTTCTCATTATGTTATACCTGTATGTTCTTTCTATTAAAATGCTTCATAAGTCTTTGAAGTAGAGAGAGACAGAAAAGTCAATATGTAAAGAATAAGTCAGAAATGTGTCCTCATTCTCATTGTTTTTCTGAACTCAGACTTAGGCATTGTCTTCAGTTCCCTAATTTCCCTCGTGTTCTAGAATTGGGGTGCTGGCTGATAATACAGGGATGTAGAAGAGAATGCCTTGCTCTGAGTTCTTTTAAAATGCTCAAAACTAGCTGAGAATCTTTTTCACTGTTTTCCTTAAAAAAATGCTGCTGAACATCATTTTTTTTCCGTCTCAGACCTTAATCCAATAGACCATAACCCATTATGCTCCTGTCCATCCTAGTGCCCTCCATTCCCTCAAGGAAGCTTCCAGGCTGTTTGTCTTACACAGCAAACAAAGATTTGGGGTTGTTTTTACCTCCCTCCAGTCTTTGCATGTTACCAAGCACGGGACAAAATGGAAGACAGCAGAGCTAAAAAGTGAAGGGAAGAAAGCGGGTGTCTAAACATACATGTAACTTGCATGTCTTTGGACATCCATATCAGTTGACTTCAAGTGGAGGAATCACTGTTTTCCAGGATAGAATAGAAACTATCTTAGTTACTGTTTTCTTGTTGCTGAGACAGAATACCTGACACCCAAAGTTAAAAGAGGAAAGATTTATTTAGTTCACAGTTTGTACAGGTTTCAGTCCATTATTGACTGGATCCAAGGCACAGTGTCAGGGAACAGTGCCTTGGGGGACTGTGTGTAGGAAAAGCAACAAGGGGACACACACACAGAGAGAGAGAGAGAGAGAGAGAGAGAGAGAGAGAGAGAGAGAGAGAGAGCTTTCTGTCCCTTATATTGGATGCAGGTACCTGCTCTAGGGCAGGTGAAGACTCACATCCTTAATCCCAGCATTAGACCATGTATCAATCACAAACTCTAGATTTAGCCACCTCTGAAAAGCCTACCCCCCATGACTGTGAGGCCTTATGGGAACATCTAGGCATAAACCATAACACGATCACAGGAATCATCAGTGTTTTAGTTCTTTTTCATTTTTCCAGGGGTGTAGTTACCCATCTACTTAATGAATAATTATAATTTTAGTGTTTGTGCTCCTGAAGTGAGCACAATAAGTAATTGCAGAGGATGGAAAAACATGACATGGCCATGGTCCTTATGCCTGACTGTATTACCTGTTGAGACTAAACAAATCCAGAAAGGTACTCATAACAAGTGACTGGAGGAACTAGGAATTGAATTCAAGTGTGTCTGCCCCCAAGGCATAGGCTACTTGCCTCACAAACACCAATGGCTTGTTTTAGACATCAATTTCTCAGATGTTCATATTTTATATTTTCCTAAATTATACCCTTCTCATAGTAGATCCACTATCCTTCCCAACTCTAAAAATCATTGGTTCTAACAGGGTTCCAGTATATTCTAGTGGATTGATCCATTGCTGGATTTCTTCAGTCTTATTCTAAGATCTTAGCATTTAACTGACTGTAAAGGGCTCTATTTTAGGTTTACTTATTTGTGTAATAGACATAATAGGTGACAGTCAAAAGGACACTCAGGATGTTCCAGTCCCCTGAGTTGGAAAATATTTCTAGAAATGAGTTCATTTCCTCTGGCCACGTTCCTTATAACCACCTTGTAGGATAAGGATGCTGAAACGAAAAGCTTCAGACTGCACTTGTAGAGCATCTTTCAGAGGGGGGCATGAGACAGCTGTGCTGCATTCTGTGGCATGCTGCGGTTGGCGTGCGAGTTGTGAGAGATGTCTGTGTGCAAAGCGCAACACAGAAATGATGGAACTGGAAGCTTTAGTCACCATTCTCAGTGACATCTCTGGGGCTGCTTTGGGGTCCAGCTTTCTCTCTGGAACCTCTCGTCCTCCGCTCCCTTCTCTGTAGCCAGTCCTTGGTACAGCCATGCGTACAGCACAGGTACAGTAAAACAAAAGGAGTGATGATGTGCTTATTAAGCTTCTACTTTAGTTAGCATTTACATTGTTTCATTGACTTTTCACAGAAGCATGAAAGTAAAAAGCTGCAACTCAGTAGAAAGAAATAACTTGCTTATATCAGATGTCTGCTGGGTTAGTCAAGTCAGAAGCCGAGTCTGTGGACTTCAGGGCCTGCACTGAACCACAGACACACCCACTGAGGAGTGATAAAGAGGATGTGCTAATACACAATGGAGTATTACTCAACTATGAAAAAGGACAAATTTGAGTCTTTTACTCTTTTTTTTTTTAACTGGGGATTGAACTCAGGCCCTCGTGTTTGCCAGGCAAGAACTTATTCTACTGAGCCATCTCCTTGACTTGAGGCTTTTATTGCTAAATTTGTACAACTGGAGACCATACTTTTAAGTGAAATGAATCAGACCCGCATGCATAAACATTGTACCGTCTCCCTAGTGTAAGAACCTGAAAGAGTAAATAAAATCTGAAAGTACAACAGATACTGTAAAAAGGGAGTCTGTTCAAAGGGAAGGAATTACTGAGAAAAAGAAAAGGACAGGCGAGAGAGTGGGAGAAAGAGGTATAGCTATGTATGAATGTAGGATGGCTTGGATAACTGTACTGTTGATTTCTGCTGGTCTGTGAAAAGCAGCAGTTAATGCTTAATTTTTTTTCTCTTCTTAATTTCTTATAAATGCCAGACCCAATTTTGCATGCATATATCTGGTAATCTACATAACTAATTTGAAGACAATACAATGCAATGCAACAAATATTGTCTAATTCATGTTTTTTGTTTAGTGAAATTCTGTATAATTTCTAATTTTTTATTATTTGGTATTCTCAAATAAAATAAAATAAAAATAGGTCTCATATGTCATGAGTCACCTAGCTAGAGAACAACATACAATGATTTAGCCAAACAACAAAACTATAAAAAGTTTTGCTGCCAGTTTTAAAGCCAGCAGCAAAACTATAAAATTTTCTGCCTTTTAGGTATTAGTTCCAGTCATAATTTTTTGATAATATGTATATATTTTTTTAGAACAGGGTCTACAGGGTCTCATTACACAGATTGGACTTGTACTGATCCTCCTGTTTTCAGCCCCCAAACGCTGGGATCACAGGCATGTGCCACCATGTCTAGTCTCAGTCGCCATCTCAGCATGCCCCAAGGGTGGGGCTGGCACAGCACATGGAACTGGCAATCAAACCCCAGTCCCTGCGCCTGCCTAAGCAGGTGTTTTAATCCACTGAGCTATCTGTTCAGCCTGTGTTTTCTATTTACAGTTTATACCATATGCTCTGTCAACAAAAAGAATATTGTTTTAAAATAATTTTAGTATATAGTGATGTGTAAACAACTTTCACTCACTTAAAGGGTATAATGCAGGAGTTCTAGTGTATGCAATCAACCATCACCGCAGTGTAGAACATGCTTATTTCCCTAGTGAGAAACTGCACTCTTTAACAATCACTCCCATATACATTCATCCTCCAGGCCCTAAGCAACCAATCTGTACAACTTTGCCTGTTTCAGGATTTCATGAAAATAGAAACACATATTATATAGTCTTATGTAATGGGTGTCTTTAATTTAGCTTGCTTTTAAGGTTCACTGTGTTGTAGCATGTATCAATGCTTTATTTCTTTTTATGATCAAAGAATATTCTATCATATAGATATGTCATACTTTGCTTATCTAATAACCTTTTGACATTAGGATATTAGGGTTGTTTTCACCTTTTCAGCTACTGCAAATAGTGCTGATGTGAAAATTTATGTGTAAGTTTTGGTTTGAACATCTATTTTCAGTTCCTTTGATTGCGTGTCTGTAAGTAGAATTGCTGAGATATAGATAACTCTATGCTTAACTTTTCAGGGAAATGCCAAATGATTTTCCATAGAGACTACAACTTCACATTCCGACCAATAATTTATGATGGCTCTAATTTGTCCAAATCCCCACCAACATTGTTATTTTGTTTTGGACCCTAGTGGACATTTAGTGGTATATCACTGTGGTTTTGATGTGAATTTTCCTAATGACTAATGATACTGAGCACCCTTTAATTTATTTGCTTTTTGTATATCTTCTTTGGAAAAATGTGTATTCAAATCCTTTACCAAGGCTGGCAAGATAGCTCAGCAGACTAAGTGCCTACTTAGGCAAGTGCAGTGACTGGGGTTCAGTCCCTGCCACTACATGCCACACTGGCCCTGCCCCTGGAGCACTGAGCCAGCCACCAAAACTGGGCATGGTGGTACATGCCTATAATCCCAGCTCTGAGGAGGATCACTATGAGTCTGAGCTGTGTAGTGAGACCTGCACCGAACACATTAAAAAAAAAAATCCTTGAGCAAAGCTTAATTGAATCATTTTTGTTATTGAGTCATTCCTTTTATAGTTGAAATTCTAAAACTTGATCAGAGTTATGATTTGTAAATATTTTATTCCATTGTGTGAGCTGTCTTTTCAATGTCTTGATAGTATCTTTTGGTCCGTGAAATTTTTTCATTTTGACAAAGTCCAGTTTATTATTTTCTCTTTTGTTGCTTGTGTGTTGCTATCAAACCTAAGAAATCATTACTGGATAAAAGTTTGAAAAAATATTTTTTTTCTTCTGAGAATTTTATAATTTGAGTTTTGACATGTAGAATTTTACTCTATTTTGAGTATATACTTTTATATATGATGGGAATTAGAGGTTCTAACTTCATCTTTTGCATGTGGATACACAGGTATCTCAGAATGATTTGTTGAAAACAATATTCTTTTCCCATGAATGGTCTTAATATCTTGGTCAAAACTTGGTTGAAACTAGATACATAGGTTCATCTCTACACTATAAATTCTATTCTATTTATCTATCGTTTACACTTCTACCAGCACCATAGTGTTTTGTTCATTGCTTTATGGTAAAGTTTGAAATTAGCAATGTGAATTCTCCTAGTCCTGGTCTTTTCTCAAGATTTTTGGGTTCTTTTTGGTCCTTGGTTAAATAGGGTTTTAGAATCAGCTTATCAACTTCTACAGAGAAGTCAATGTGGGAAAGGCTTTATATTTAATCATATAAATTTGGAAATAGAACTAACTTCTGGGAGAGTAAATCTAGAGTAAATCTACTCTGTATAGCTGAGACCTTCATAATAGAGTCAAAAAAAATTCATCTTGGAGTCTAAAGATGTCTATTAATTGTGACGTTGAATTTGAGGGGACACCGAAGGTGTATTAATTTCTTACACTTGTGTAACAATTTAAAGGTAATAAGATTTGTTTACAGTCTTCTCACATCTTTTCTTCGGAGTCATCCTGAGATTTAGTAAGGCAGGAATTTTGTCGCTTGTAGCTTTCAAAAGGTAATTTAGACAGATAGAAGGCAAGATGTACTTGCTCAGAAAAGTAAGCTAAAAAGTAATCTTATTAATCATCTTGGTTGCCACACAGTGGAGAGGTTTTATATTGCTTGATCATTTTTTCATGCCTATCTTGTATTATGAGCAACTACTTTGAAGATAATAATGCACAATTTACTGAACATTATTACTCTCCTACAATCTTGTTGTGAAATTTTATACCATTGTTTATTTTTCTTCTCTTTAAAATAAAAAATAAATTTTAAAAAACTGAGAAGATTTCTGGAATGAAATACTTTTAGTTTTAAAACTGGAAGAGTCCTCGGAAAACCAACTTTAGTTGATCCCCTTACCAGAAAGAAGAGGCAAGGTAAGTTATGGGGCTGTTTAATTGGGATTTAGTACTTCTAATGATGATCTAATCAAGCAAGCTGGCTTCACTTTCTCTACTTTATTCATTCATTTATTTATTTATTGTATTTTAGGGAAGGGTCTACAGGGTGTTCAGGGTCTCACTGCCAGATCGGACTCATAGTGATCCGCCTGTTTACAGCCTCCCAAGAGCTGGGATTACAGGTGCATGTCACCATGCCCAGTCTCAATTGCCATCTCAGTGCACCCTGGGGGTGGGGCCAGCTTGGCAGGCCTGGTGATCGAACCCCCAAACCCTGTGCCTGCTTGCAGGTGCTTTAGTCTGCTGAACTATTTGGCTGACCCTTTTACCTGAGAAAGTTCTACCTAAAATGCACTCATCACACATCTTTTTTTTTGGGGGGGGGCGTACATCAGGAATCAAACTCAGGACCTCACACTTGCCATACAGGTGCTATAGCACTGAGCTAAACCTCTAGCCATGAAACTTTTCTTGACTAATCTTTTTTGAGACATCAGTTGTCCTAGCCTTCAAGCAAATCATTATCTTTTGGGATCCCAGGCACAGTGGATTCTGTATTTCTCCTTCCTATGCATTCTAATACTTGCTCAGTTTGCCTTTTCTCACTCCTTCAGACCTGGAAATATTCCATGCATACTGTTATCTGACTAACAGAAAGGCAAGTGGACATTTGAGATAGATTTTAGGCACAGCTAAATTGTCTAGTCACCACTTTATGCTAGAATTCAGTTTGGACTTAAAGATGCACAAGAGCCACTTAGTGCCCGCAACACAACTTTTATTTTATTGCATCTCCATGTGGATCATTACAAGAAAGGCACCACCTAGTACACATCGATGACGCGTCTCAGAGAGCCGACTTTGGCATCCATGGCCCCCCAGTCGTGGTACCGTCTGTAGTCCCCAGGTCTCAGCAGGTACTGCCGGCCCCTGTAGTTGGGCAGCTCATAGAGGACCCAGCAGCCCTCCAGCACGTGCAATGAGTAGATCTCATTGAGACGGAAGCGGTCATGGATGCAGGAGCAATCTTCGGTGAGCTCTGATACAAGGCCTCGGTAGTCATCTCTCTCATATAGTCTTATCCGATGAGAGCTGGTCTGTTGTGACAACAAACAAAAGGACAAAAATAAATGATGTGCACATTCAGTGTCAAGGAAAGTGACAGCCAGCCTGCACCATCACGAAGTGCGCTTTTCAGAGCCTTCTGCTAATGTGTTTCTAATCTCACTCCTAATGTTGTTATTCTAACAATTAAGGAAGAGTATTAAAATAAAGCTGACATGACCAGTGAACTGGAGTCTTTGTGGAGGAAACTAACTTTGAAAATAGAGGGAACAAAAGTGTTTCCTTTGTAAGCAGCCATCTGTCACAACTGTGTCTACTGAGTTTGCAGAGAAGATTTTAATGCTCGTTTCCGTGATCACACCATGGAGCTGAACCTGATGCAGCTTGTTTGAAAGTCACTCTTGTTGTAGTTGTGATGCACCGTTCTTCAAATTGGCTGAGTCCACACATCTTTCCAAATGATATTTTGGCAAATCTTTGAACCACTTGAGTTTCTTGCCTCCAAAGAAATATCTGTTTTATGTATATCTCCTTGTGTATCTGGACATTTGAGTAGCCTACATTTGATTTTATTTCTAGAATATTCTTTCCACAGCATATAATTTGGTGACTCCAGAAAACATAAACATGCTCTTCATGTGCATGAAAAGCATGGAGAAGTATTTTAGTGGAGGTCATGTCCCATGAGATCCTAATCAATTCCCTGTCCCTGCCCCTTGTAAGAAATCAGTTGGTAATTCCTCTTGGAAAATATAAAGCCACGCAAACTGAGGCACATTGCTCTAGGTTCTACATCAGTGTGTTAATAGAGTACAGTGAAAAAATCAGTGCAGTCAGAATACATTCTGCCTAAAATATTGTTCTTCCATAATCTGTTAATTTTTTATCATTAAAAATTATCTACATAGCTGAGTGTGGTGACTCATACCCATAGTCTGAGTACTCAGGAGGCTAAGGGAGGAAGATTGTTGTGAGTTCAAGGCCAGCCAGGACTACAAAGTGAGTTCAAGGCCAGCTTGAACTGCATAGTGAAACCCTGTCTCAAAAAAAAAAAAAAAAAAAAAAAAAAAAAAAAAAAAATTACCTAAATAGACTTTTCTTTACTGAGCAAGATAGGTTTGATGTAGAAATTACAAATTGCTTATGTTCTACCATTATTTAATTTACTTAGTTTTCAAATTTATTTATCTATTTTAAATTGACAGGTAAATTTTTGTATATATACATGTTTTTAAGTATATAGTGTTTATAGTTATTTGTATACAGTATATACTCATATAAGTATATGCATTATAGAACAGCTAAATTTAGCTAATTAATATATGTATCTCATTATAGCTATTATTTCTGTGATTAGAAGACTTAACACCCACTCTTAGCATTTGGACATTGTGCCGTCCAATAGATCTCTGACCTTACTGTGATTATACACCTTTGAACAACATCTCCCTGAACCACCCTCCCCTTCCCAACTGCCCCAGCCTCTTCTAGGCACTATTCTACACTCTAGTCTATAAGATCAACAGTTTTAGATTCCACACGAGTGGGATCATATGGCATTTATGTTTCTGCGCCTGGCTTATTTCACTTAACATAATGCCCTCTAAGTTCATCCACATCATTATACTTGACCGGCTGTTCTTCTTTTTATAGCAGAAGGACCTATAGCTATCAGCCAAGTTTGGTTTTGAAGGTTAGAGTGGTCATGATTTCTTGTGTCCTAAAACAATAGTGATGAATGTAAGAAAAATAGAGGCTTCGCTACCCTTATTATGTACCTATCCTTGCTGAGAATGTTAGTGGAGAGAACTCGCAAGTGGGCACTGCCGACCACTGATCACTGACGCCCTCAGATGTCAGTCAAGCTGAAGCAGACTCACGTAAGGAATGGCCCTGCAGGAGCGGATGGAGTCGCTGAAGCCCATCCACTGCTGGTAGTCGGGGTAGTCGCCGCGCCTCAGGAAGTACTGGTAGCCCTGGTAGTTGGGGCGCTCATAGAGCATCCAGCAGCCACTGTCCACACGGATGGAGTTGCAGCGGCTGAAGTAGGTCTGAAGGTTGGGGCAGTCGGTGCTGCACTCGTAGCAGCGGCCCTGGAAGCCCCGGTCCTCATAGAAGGTGATCTGCAGAGGAAAAGAAGGTGACAGAGATGGTCAGCTGGGAGGTACATCCCCCCACAGAGCGGACTCTTGGTAGATGCGGTGTGGCACCTCCACTGGCTCACCTTTCCCATGGCTGTTGACAGCGAATGATCAGAGTCCACTGTGATGGGGACAAGAGTGGCAGCTGATATATATAGCAGGACGGCTGCTGTGCTGGCAGGAACAACACAAAAGGGAGCTGGGGGCAATGCGTAAGGGGATTTCTGTGTTCTCTCTTTTTTTCATTTGGGATCATGGGGTAGGGGGCTCTCATTCTCTCTGGCATTTTCGAGTTGTCCTCACTAGTTCCAGTGAAAGGAATTCAAGTCAGCAGAGCCATTATGACCTTGGAGACAAAGGACGCACTTCTCATCCTATGCAGCTCTCTAGAAATACATTACATGCCCAGCATTTTGCAATGTTTGCCTATAGAAACTGCTGAGATGGAAGTTGGTGGTTCCGTCTGAGGGAGCTCGTGAGAATCATGTGAGCTCCAGAAGGACTTGAGGTACAAGTGGGAGACAGAAATCTCAGTCGAAAAATCCTCCACTGGAAAGATAGCGCATTTCGACATCAGTGTATTATGACTTTGATTTTTTTTAAAAACTTGCATGTGTTAAAGGTAGAAAGATCAGCTCTGTGTAAACACTAAAATGTCAATCATGGTTATCAGTGAATGGCAAGATTAAGGTGCTACCTTGGTTTTTATGCCTTAGTTTTGCCGCTATTTCCTAACCTTTCTATTACATGTTACAATTCTGTATGGTAAAAAATAGTAAAATCAGTTATTTGTAAGGGTGTTTATTCCATATGAATATTGTTTCATGTTTGTATGGGGAACTGTAGCTGAGCATTTCACTGCTCTCGGTCAGCCAAAGAAGCACAATCCTATAGTTTTGTTTTGCTTATAGCCATAAAATCATCGCTTTCACTTCTATTGCTGTTACTTCTACTTTCTTTAAAGACTCAGTAAATGTTTTATGAAACCATAAGTGCAGTTTTTTTAAAAACATGGCATAAATTTGTACAGCCCCATTGTAAATGTTGCTTCTAATTATAGATGTAAAATGAAATTTCATTTGTACCTGGGAAAATCCAATAAAAAGATAGTCATTTAGAAAAATAGCAAAGCTCATTAATAAACATTTGATATGAAAAGCACAATGTGTGGAAGTTTTGGAAACTGTAGTGAATTACAACAGATAAAAGCTAAAAAGAATTCATTGCTGTGTTAGTGTTGTGAAGTTTTAAATGTTTTATTGTAAATTGCTTGAGAGTTCATTGAAAGAAGTTTCTATTTATTCACCATATAATCTTTAAAGAAAATTTACCCATGTTGGCCAGAAGAAGAAAAGAAAGAAAGATAGTAAAATTAAATTTTAAATGTATGATTTAGTGCTAATGGTGAAAAGCATTTTGGGAATTAAATATTTTGTCCTGCGATTAAATACTACTCCATAATGAAAGCAAGAGACAGGAAAAGGAATACTGTGGGTCTGTCCTGCTTCAAGGTTGTATATGGTGAGATTTTTGGACTTATGTGCAAACATGAGAAGCATAGAATTCTTTATCCTATTTTTAA